GTATCAAACGAGGGTGTGAAGACATTCGATTATAAAATTTTACTATGTAAATTCGAATTTTACTATGATGCAGATCACCCAAATTTTACTATGTTTTACAACCTCCTATAGATCGGCGGGAAATGTCCTGTGACTGGTACGAGAAAAACGAATTTCGTATGTTTTCCGTAAAAACCGTGTGTATTCCGTGCGTGTTTCGTATGCATTCCGCACCTACTTCGTATCTACCCCACACAAGTTCCGTACATTTCGGCGCATTTAATAGGAAGATTCCGTACATTTTTCCGTACCTATTCCGTAAAACAATACGGTTCATCTTAATCTACTGTTTTTCCGTATGTTATTTTTTATAGGGATGTTGTATGTGAAATTGAAATATTATGGAGTGGGGTGAAATTCTGATTGGCTAATTTGAATTTCAAATCGAAAGAACTTTTTACTTGTCACTAGTACACATGTAATTTTTAACAAGGAACATGATATTTTGTACACACATTCTTTGAGATTTTAATTTATTCCTTGTAAAATTTTAGATATGGTTTCATAAAGAAACAATAAATAATTAGCAGTTGGAAGTTATACATTTTTAAATAAAATATTAATAAAATGAAAACTAATAATAAGTAGTTGATTATATAATTTTTTAATATTGTAATTATATTCTTACTAATAAACTTTACTTTTTGTTTATATATAAAATAGATATTGCAAGACTCATTAAAGGATACATATATATATGTTTTTAAATAATGAATGATAAGAATAGTCATAAAATGTTTGTTCCAATAATTACAACACTGCCTTAGAAAAATAAGGAATTAATGTATGTTGAGCACATTTTTAGTATTAATATTAAGAAAAATAGATGATATAAATAATGAAAATAAATTCTCTTTGTGATTTAATTTTTTTTTTTTTCTTCTAATTGTGTAATGTAATATTTATAATAACCATTCAAACAACGACTTGTATTTACAAAAATAGTCATATGTTTGCTTTATTACAATTTTCACAAAAATCATATGTTCATTTTATTACAATTTTTACAAAAACAAGTGTGATTTTTTATCGTACGATATTTTTATTTATCATTTATCACGTGATTTAGTTGTAACGCGATTAGTAACTATATTAATATTCAAAGTTTTTTATTATTAAAAAAAAAACCCCCAAAATTCGTCGCAACAAAATTCGTTGTGACAAGGGTTGACTGTAAAGCAGATTTATTTTTAATACTAAAAAAAAATGGATATTTTAATAAAACATCATCACAACTATTTAAAATCATTAAATTTATTAATAATAACTTACAATTTATTTTTATTATATAATTTCAATTTTTTGGTTTCTGGTCAATTATTAGATATACATAGTCAAAGTTCAATAGTGTTAAATGATAAACTCTATTATTTTGGAGGATATTCTGTCAGTTCAGGATATACAAACCAAATTATTTACCTAGATTTATCCACATCATTTTCACTTAATCAAACATTACCAATAAAACAAATTCTTCTAAAAACAGCAATACCTCTATTTATTAGTGCATCATTAGCATTAGGAGTTAATAATGACACACTTTATGTTATAGCTGGAGAAAGAATTCCAGCACCTGGTTCTACAGATTATGGATCTATGGTTTACTCAATAAATATAAATTCATTTGATACATGGACTCCAGAGACCCTAA